CAGTTCAATGAGTTTTCACACCCCCCCCCCACCATGTTCACACCATAAACACCACCACAATAAAGATTTAGGACATTTGTGTTATAAAAAGTTTGCTCATGCCCGTTTGCAGTCAGTCCCCAAACTGGTCCCGGCCAATCTCTAATCTGCTTTCTATCACTGTAGACAAGTTTTGCCTGTTCTGTACTATATAACAGAATTTTATGTAAATACACTCTTAAAGTATATACTCTTTTTGTGTCTGGCTTCCTTCTCTTAGCATCATATTTTTGAAATTCATCTCTATTGCTCATATCAGTAATTTGTTTTTATTGCCAAGTAGTATTCCTTTGTATGAATATGACCTACATTTATCAATTACCTATGGTAGACATTTGAGTTGTTTTCAATTTGGGTTTATTATGAAGAAAGCCGCTGTGAGCATTCATGTATAATACAAAATTTTGTGGACATATATTTTTATTTCTGTTCATTAAATATCTATGAGTGGAATTATTGAGTTGTATGCGTCAATGGAACAGAATAGAGATTCCAGAAAAATTCACATTTAACGTTTTTGGCAAAGGTGCTGAGAGTCTTCACTGGGGAAAGGATAATCTTTTTAACAAATAATACTGGAACAACAAAGAAGACAAAGTGAATGTTGACTTACACTTCTCATCATACAAAAAAATTAACTTGAAATGAATTGTAGACCTAAACTCAAAAGTAAAATCTAAAACTATAAAATTAGATAAAAACACAGGAGAAAATCTTCGTGACCTTTGGTTTAAAGATTTCTTAGAACATGCTAAATTTACCATACAAGAAAAAATGGACAACTTGGACTTCATCAACATTAAAAACTTCTGTTCTTTGAAAGACTCAATTAAGGAAATGAAAAGGCAAACACAGTTTTGGAGAAAATTTTGCAATACATATATCTTACAAAGGACATGAACATATATATATAAATATATATAAAGATGCTCTTACAACTTCATAATGAGAGGATAACCCCATAAAGAAAAGGGCAAAAAAATGTGTGAACAGAAATTTTACAAAAGAAGATATATAAATGGTCAAGAAGCAAACGAAAAGATGTTTAAAATCAATCATCAGGGAAATGAAAATTTAAGACACAAGGAGATACTGTTTCATGTTTACTGGAATGGATAAAACTTAAAGGGCTAACAAGGGTTGGCAAGAGTGTAGGTCAGCTGGAATTCTTATGCATGTTGGTAAAAACACAGAATGATACAATTTCTTTGGAAAAATGTGTGGCAGTTTTTTATATTATTTTTGGTGGCCTTCTGAATTTCTTCAGTGAATTATAGGTCACTTCCTCCACCGTTTCTTTTTCCTCCAGTTCTACACCTCTTTAGAGACAGTAGAGTTTCTTTAGTACTGGGAATCACTAGTTTGGAGCAGAATTATACAAAGCTGTTATTTTTGCTTTTTTGTTTAAGTTGAGGTGATATAGGAGAAAGCAGTACTATACAGGTAAAGAGTTGCCAGTACATTTTCAACAAGATAGTTACATTCCTTGTATTGGATATATGACTGATAAAGTAATTCTAACAACATGAAGATGACCAAGAGACAGTTAAGGATTAAAATGCTTGGAAAGGGGGTCAGGTATGTGTTTAAAAAAAAAAAAGCCCAGTTCCAAGTATTAGTAATATCAGTAATAGCTATAGTTATACTAGGGTTCTAAGAGCAAATGTTGATTAAGCATGAATACAGCAGGGGAAATATGTATATGGTTACCAAATAGTAAGTTAACTACAGGAAAAACTAGCAAATATTTTTTTTTCATATGCTAATTTTTCTTTTTCACCTATTTTAGGATTAGTGGGAGCTGTCCAATGTCGTTAGGCTGTTTTCTTAAAAGCTGGTTCTTCACTGGGTTTATCAAGCTGCCAGGAGCATTCATTTTGTGGTTGTCATTACTTCAAGTTTTGTTACCACTGTGTCTACAGTAGTGCTTGTCACATAGCAGATGCTCAGTAAATATTTGTTAAATTAATTTTTTGAAAATACAATCTGCCACACCTTTCTTCTTCAGTCTCCAATCTTCTGTTGAGATCATCCGGTATATTTTGCTTCTCAGATATTGTACTTTTGAGTCCTAGAATTTCTATCTTTTATATTTTCTACATCTTCTCTGAGACTTTCCATCATCTTTTCACTCGTTGGAATCATTTTCCTTTACATCGTTGTACATACTTGTAATAGCTACTTTTAAAGTCCTTGTCTGCTAATTCTAACATCTAGTTCATCTTGGAGGCTGATTGTATTGACTGGTTTTTTTTCCTTAGTAATAAGTCACATTTTTCTGCTTTGTCTAGTCAATTTTAATTGTGTGTTGAATGTTGTCGGGGATCTGGATTGTTATTTCCTTTAAGGGTGCTAAGTTTCTTTTTGGCAGGCATTTAAATTAGTGGTTGATCTGGCATTTGTCAGGCTTGGTTTTCGCTGTTAAGGCAGGCCTATTTCAGATTTGTCTTTTGTCTTAGTACAGTGGTCCCCAACCTTTTTGGCACCGGGGACCAGTTTCATGGAAGACAATTTTGAGGGGAGGAGGGTGCAGGGGGATGGTTTCCTGATGATTCAAGCACATTATATTATTGTATAGTCAAACCTTTCTGCTAATAATGATCTATATTTGCAGCTACTCCCCAGCAGTGGCATCACCGCCTCAGCTCCAGCTCAGATCATCAGGCATTAGATTCTCATAAAACATAGATCTCTTGCATGCACAGTTTATAGTAGGGTCCGTGCTCCTATGAGCATCTAATGCCAACGCTGATCTGACAGGCAGAGCTTATGTGGTGATGCGAATTGTGGCTATAAATACAGATGAGGTTTTGCTCGCTCACCTGCTGCTCACCTCCTGCTGTGTGGCCTGGTTCCTAACAGGCCACCACTCCCCTGCTGTGTGGCCTGGTTCCTGCAGACTGGGGGCTGGGAACCACAATGCTAGTACATGGTCCTTATACCTGAGATGTTGCCTTTTTGGAGTCTCAACTGAATATCTGGGGTGCCCAAGCTAAAAGCAAGGCACCCCTTTTTCCTTAAAGACCACAGCCTATTTACAACTGTAGTTATGATATAAAAGTAAGTTATAAGTATTGCTTGTACTACCGAATAACATAATTTTTCATATTAAAGTTCATGGACTCTTTTTTTTTTATCCAACTCACCACACACATATTTTTGGACTTCCTCTCCATCCTTCCTCCTCCCAGTAGTTTAATTGTAATTAATTGTAATTTTGGTTATATCAATATTGAATTTGTATGTGATTTATATCTAGATAAATGCCATTCACAGTTTAGCATTATAGTATATTGTGACTGCTTTTTCCTGCTTGTGTTGTTTTCCCTGGAGTTAAAATTTCTCTTTTTTTTTCACTTGTTTAGTTTTCAATGTTCTTAATTTTAATTCATAAATTTACCCCTAATTGTATAAATCTCTCAACTTATTTGAATCTATTTGGTATTATGTCAATTTCATCTTCTTCAGAAGCCTTCTGATCTGCCCTAATCTGGATTAATTGCTCTCTAGACTTGCTGCATGGCTGTCTACTTGAGATGTCCCTTCACCGTCATTCTGGGGATTCTCTTTTCCTCTTCTACGACTTGGATTCTTCAGTTCCTAGAACCTATTATCTTTTTTCATGGTATCCCATCCTTGTATTGCTGGAGCGCAGTTTTTAGTAACTTAGAATATATGGGAAGCAAAATTATTCTTGATTTTGCTTACTTTAAAATGCCTTTATTATATACTCACACTTGAATTATATAGTCTGTCTTGGTATACAGTTCTAGGCTGGGAATAATTTTTCCTCAAAATTTCTTCCCAGTTGTTTTTTAGCTGCTAATGTTTCTGTTAAAAAGGGTAATGCCATTTTGATTCCAGATTATTTTTATAAAACCTGTTCTTAGGCAGCTTTTAGGGTCTCCTATTTGTTTTGTCAGTATTCAGAAATTTCACAAAGATATCTATGCCTCAGTTTGGGTCTGTTTTCATCAATTTTGCTGAGTGCTAATGCACCCTTTCAGTTTGAAAACATGTCCTTCAGTTTGGGATATTTTTCTTGAGTTGTATCTTTGGTTTTTTTCTCTGTGTTCTCTGTCTCTGGAACTCCTAATCATATGTTGGATATCCTGGACTCTTTTTTTTTTAGTCTTCTGTTTTTCATTTGTTGTTTTATTCTATGTATTCTGATAATTCCTCAGCCTTGTACCCTTCTAAACCCTTATTGCCTACGTCATAGGATTTGAGGATTAAACAAATTTATATACATAAAATGCTTAAAATAATGCCAGGCATGTAGCAAGTACTTGTGTTAGCTGTAGTTGTTGTTGTTTAGTTTCATAACTGTCTTGAGGTCTTTGGTCTTCATTCTTTGACTTATTAACTGTACATGACTTTGGGCAAGTCCTGTAATTTCTTTGAGACCTACTTCCCTCCTCTGTGAAATGTAAATAAGGTCCACCTCTCAGAGGTTTGTGAGGGTCAAATGAGAGTATATATGTGAAAATGCTTAATAAACTTTGTACAGAGGTAATAGTTAATATGTCTTTCAAATATCAAAAGTCTGATTTTCTGGGTTATTTTTAAAAGTACTTGATGGCTTATGACTTTCTTGCAAATCTGAGTTACGTGAACTTGAACTAAATGCTAAAGCTGCTTTTTAAAGAAGTTATGTCTCACTATTCCATCTTATGTTAGGCTGAAGACACAATTATGAAAATATTCATTGTATGAAAAGGTCTGGCTTTACTTCAGATTGTATAAATCTGTGTAATGTAATAATTATATGAGAATGACATGATTACTAGCTTAAACCCATGGAGGGGATAGTTATTTATTTATTTATTTTTACTTAAATCGTATTAAGATTAGGAAAAATAGAATTTGTCTTTTGGTTTTTCTCAATAGTATTAATGTAATTTCAAATGTTAGCTCATTTTTGTTAATGGTGGCTTTTTGTTTGTTTGTTTTGTTTTAAGGTTTTTGGATTCAAAGCATAAAAACCATTACAAGATATACAATCTGTAAGTATGTTTTCCTATTTGTATGCTTGCAAATATCTTCTAAAATAACTGTTAAGTAAAAGTTATTTCCTTGTTAGAATGAGGTAGAGTTCAAGATACATTTTAATAGAACTGTGCTACTAAAGCAATTAGTTCAAGAAGTCCGATTGAAAACGTTTTTCAACCTTTTTAGATTTAGAAAATGTAGTGATGAGGTAAAACAATGTTGGCACAGATTCATGTTACTTGATCTACTTTAAATGACTTGGCATCTAGCCCATCTTTGAGCCCATAACCACGTGGTAATTTGAAGTGTTATTCACAGTAGAGCTTCTGTGAAAGCATTAATGGCATCTTCCATGGAGGTATGCTCCTGAGCAAATATAATTCTGTTTATTTTGTGTCTGTAGGTCAATTGACTGAAAAAGTTATTAGGGTATTCTCTAACTGTATGTAACACATATATATTATCTAAAATTGTTGAATTGGGTGGTTTCTGTAGTCTGGGGAAGGATTTTAAGGATTGCCCACTTGATAGAGCTAGTTGACCTTATCTTATTGTTTTTTCTTTTGACTTTGGGAGTAGAGATGTGAAAAGGAAAAAAAGGAAGGAAAGAAAGAAGAAAATCTTCACCATTTTTGAAGACTGTAATTCCTTCCCTAAATATTGCCAATTTTCTAATTTTTTAAAAATGGCACATAAATATGTTATTTTTCTACCTGCCCTTTCTCTTTCCCATGTGATATCTATAAATTATGAATAAGAAATTTTTTAATGTAGAATTTATTTGTCAGGTGTAAGATCAAGATTCTCTTCTGTCTCTGGCAGGCATTTAAATGTTTACCAAAAAGGATGAAAGATTCTCTCTGTCTTGTTGGCTTGTGGGATGTTGTTTTTTTATCTTTAGTTTAGTGATCTTTCTGTTCTGACAAGACCTCAAAAGCACTGAGAGTGAGTAGACACCAATATTGTTGTTACTCGTAATGAGTTTTCACTGATTTTGTCAGAGTCACAAAGGAGCAAACATTTGTTGAATGCTTACTGCATGCTAGACATGATAAAACATGTTGAGGAGTATGGAGGTGAGTAAGATGTAATTCCAGTCCTCAAGTAGCCTGTAGTCTAATGTGAAAGGTAGACAAAGTATTATAGAAGAGGTAATTCTTGTATAGAAGAGAGCAAGAAACAGTGGAAATGGTAATTGCACCCCATAGGGAAGGAAGGTTCCATAAAAAGAGGCATGTTTGAGCAGGGGTGAAAAGAATCTGTAGGGGTTGACCCTCAGGCCTAGGAGGAGAGGAAATGGCATTGCAGGCTGAAGGAATGACAAGTAAGAAGCTTATTGGCATAATAGTGTTTAGATTTTAGAATATGGCAGATAAGTCATTATGATCAGATTGTGATATGTGTGTGGGGGGGGGAGAATTGTGGTGTTAATAGGTAACAAGATGAAAGAAAGTAAAAGGTACTATAGAAACTTAAGTTTAGGTGGGCCTAGTTTATAAATGGTCTGTGCATTTAGAGTTCTTCCTCTTTTCCTGATTAACTTCTACAACCCTCATGGCAGATGCCATAGTATTTCTCTGAAGGAAAATAAAAACCACAAAACTTTGTACTTTTTGCACAACTAGATTCAGAAGTTAAATAAAAAAAGGAAAAGAACTATCAAAAGCTGAATCCATTAAATGAGTCACTTCAGGCTTAGACTCTCAGGATTGGGCATTTAGAAAGCCCTGAAATGGAGGTTGAAAGACTCTAAAAACAAATTCTGCCTTTTTCAAAATTTTATTCCAGTTTAACATATCCAAAGAAAGGGAAGGAAATTCTTTTCATTCCTGTATGTAGTGGCTTCCTGCTTCCAGAATTTAGGACTTAGGCTCAAACTATCGGTATTGTGGGTCACTTACACCATTATGGTTAAAGTTGGCATTGGGGGATAGCCAAGGAAATTGACTGCCTGTTTGTTTTTGTATTTCCAGACATTGGACTCCCAAGTTTATGAACTGTCTCTTTAGTAGTTGAGAATAGCTTTTAATGTATATATTTTAACACACTTTCCCCACGTGGAATCATAGACTTTCAGAACTGGAAAGTACCTGACAGAGATTTAGTCCAACCTTCTCATTTTACAGATGAGGAATCTGAGGCCTAGAGAAGTTAAGTGAGTTAAACAAGGTCACACAGGTACATATGGTAGTAGACCATCGACTGTTTATGCCAGTGTTCCCTTTGGGTTTTTTGTTTGTTTGTTGTATTTTGTTTTATTTGTTTTAACTTCCCCAAATTTTACTGACATCAGAAGTTTCTAGAACCACCAAGTTGTAGCATGTTTTGATTTCTAATGTCACTTTCCCATCTTCTCTACCTTCTTTCTGCTCTTGTTTATATTTCTTGTTCTGGGTGAGTCTGGCAAGCATCAGGTGTTTCTGTTTTTTTTTTTTTTTATTTTTAGGATAATAATTACATGTGATGTATATATCTTTGCAAACATATATAAATTTGAAGATCTGAAAATATTTGTACTAGGCATACCCATAATTAATAGTATGTTAAACCTTTCATAGGAATTATGATATACATGGATGAAGAAGAGTTCTTAATTTGGACTTTCTAATAATTAAACTCTATCTGTTTATATCTCTGTATTTTTTCAGGCATTTAAGAAAGGGCACAATTAGTCTCATAGCATTAACCAAATTCAGGCATACCAATGCTTAGTTAAATTAATCAATTTGTTTTGTGCATGTATATTTCATTTTTGTTTCTTTCATATAATCTGTACTCTGGAAGGGATGCAGGAAGGAGGGCAGGTAGGGAATAAAGGCATATGTAATTGTTGCTTTTGGGAAAGTAAAGTGTATACTGGTTACTAATTTTTGAAAGGTATTTACTATACTTCACTGCATATTCTATTTGATATACTTTATCATTTTGTGGTAAACCTTTAGTTGTTACTAATTTTTATCTATTAAGTTTTCTTTTGTAAGATAGGGATAGCTTCATTGAAGAGAGCAAAGAGGAAACCTACTTACCTAGCTAATTCTATGGCAAGTCTACAAGTCTTACTTCTCTGGAAGCTTTTCCCATTAATCTCATCCCTTTCTTTACTTTGTCTACTGCTTCATAAAAACTCCTTTTCAATGCTTCTTCATTTCTCTTGTCTCATATAAGCCAGTATGAGATAATGATGAAAAAAAGTAGTATCTTTTAAGTTGAATTTTAGTTATAAGGAAATATAAATGGTTAAATTTAAATGGTTAAACCACATTTGCTATTTGTGTGTCTTTAATTTCAGTTTGTTGAGAGACGTAGTTATGACTAACATATTACAAAAAATTTAAAAGAAACTGTGTGTGTGTGTGTGTAAGTGTAAGGAGGACATTTATTCATCAGAGAAGATTTTAATTAAGAAAGTCTTCATCCTTACCCTGCCAGCTCCTTCCCTGAACACATTTATCCCTGCCAGTCCCAGCATACACACTCCCACATTCCCTATGCTTAACCTGTAAAGATTTTCGTAACTTTTTCTTGTTTTTTTACTGTCGCTGTTGGTTCTGTCTTTTGCGACAATTATTGCTAGGAAAGCTGGCTTTGAAAAACATTTATTATTGCTTTTGTATTTAAAACTTTTGTACATTTTATTATAAGTGGAATTATGGAGCAGTGGTAGAAAAAGTTTGACTTTTGTAATCAGAGATACTGAGCTTCATTCAGTTCTGGTTCTTTGATTTACATATTGTGATTTGGGACAAATTTTTAAGTGTTCTTCTAAATTTTAGCATTCTCATATGAAATGAGGAAAATAATAACTATTATCATGTTTGTGAAGATGAAACAAAAATATGAAAACACCTTTGTCAGGTGTGTGCATCTAGTAGACACTTAATAGTTGTTATTTCCACAGATATTTCTCTTAACAGTAATATTTGAGAACCATTTTATGAAAGAGATCTTAAGCAGTGTTTGTCAAAACAAATGTTCTGAGACCCTGAGAAACTATGGGAATTTTAGAGAGCTGAAGCAGCACAAAACTGTTTATTTTCTGTTCTGCTGTCATAAGATCAGCTAATTAAATTGTTTCCTAGCCCTACTTCTCTCTCCTACCCTCTAAGCCTTTATATCACTCCTTATAAAATATTTCATTATGAATTCTTCACCTATTGACCATTTTCCTCTTTAATCTGTACCAAAGAAAGTATAAAATGTGACTATTCTCTTGGTCAGTTCTCTTCTTGTTATGTTTTCATGTTTCATATCAGTGGGTATGAAATTATTTTGCAAGGATGCAATATATGCATATGTCATAACTAAAAAATCAATTTTCTTTCTAACAGAGCTTAATATACTAAATTATACTAAAAAGGAAAAATTTTGGTTTGAGTGATAATATGAAAGTTGATTTATTTCAGGTCTGGCCAGTTAGAAACCAGTGGATTGCAGTTTGTTTATAATTAGTTCAGCCTTCATTCAAATTTGGTTTTGAAACTCTTTAAAGTAGAGGAATTATATAGATGTTTTCAGAGTTTCTAAATTTATAATACAAGCCCACAGTCACTTATTTGAAACTCTTGGGGCGCCAGGCATGTTTCAGTATTCAGAATTTTTCAGTTTTCAAAAAGGTAACGCAGAAGCATATACTTTGTATTACATAAACAGTACATAGAATGGAACGGGTTTACTCTAAGTGTATTAGTTAAAGACTTATATACAATCTCACGATCTCAGATCAGGATCTGCTTCAATTGAGTTCGCCATAAACTTAGAGAAAATGTTAGATGTTTAGAACTTCCGGAATTTTGAAATTGGTTAAGGAGCTACAGTCCTTTATTTGTTTTAAAATGCAAAGTTTTTGTTTTAAATAACTTTTTAAAAAATTTGTTTTCATTAGTAGTTGGAGTTACCAGGATGCTACTGACTACAGCTGATAGGAGATCTCTTTCTATGCCTTTTAATATGTGTAAACATGACCTATTAATTATTAATAAGCCAGTGTACAATAACAAACATATGATCATTAAAAGGACAAATATTAGCATATTTTAGTAATGCTAAGTCATCATTTTACTATTCTGTACTCATTTTATTTTCATTACTTTTACACTTTAATTAAAATTTATAACCTGAGAGATTATTGAAAAAGATGAACTTTGGCTTTTCAAAAGGGAGAAAGATCTGGTTTTTAAAAAATTTAGTAACCATTGTGTCAAAATAGATTAGTATCCCTTTGCCCTTATGCTTTTACTATTTTTAACATATATATTTTTGAAGAATAGTTTGAGAATTGAGTATGCTCAACTGTGAGGTAAAGATAATAGTTGAAAATAGTCAGTTGTTTTCAGTTTCTTGTGAAATGAAAAATACATTCCTTAAAACAGCAACTCAAAGTACTAAAAAAAAAAACAGAAAAGAAAAATACGTTCCAGTAGCATGCAAAATTCCATAGAGGAAATTTGAAGGTATGGATGCAGCTGAATTTGCAGTATGTCATGTTAATAGCATCATGTTTCTTTTTTCTTTTTAACATAAACCTTTAGCTGCTATATAAGAAGTTTTGTAAGCAAATATATAAACTCTGTTTGCATACACTTAACCTTTTAAGACTCAGTTTCTTTAATTATAAAATGGGGATAACAGTATCTACTTCATCGAATTCTTGGGATTAAATGAAATAGTGAATATAAAACACATAGCACAATGTGTGGCACGTTATAAAGGCTCAGGAAATGTTTGTTTAGTTTGATATCTCCCCCCACCAAGTGCAAAAGGTAACTGTATATCACATTTAAACTTTTCTTTTAGATGTGCTGAAAGACATTATGACACCGCCAAATTTAACTGCAGAGGTAGGTATGAATGTACTGTAGTGTGTTGTATAACTTAAAACCAATAGACTATATCTTACTGTCATAACAATAACAAATCATCTAGATTATAGAGATATTTATCTTAAGAATAATCTTAGATAATTTGAAAAAATTAATTTTGCTCTTCTGCTTGAGAAACAAGTGTCACATAAACCTATTAATACCGTCAGGAAGATTAAAATGCAAAATAGACTAAGAATTAGGAGAAATTCCTAGACTAACAATAGAATAAGGAGAGCATTTACCTACTGTTTGAGGCATTTGGTGTAATAGTAAGTGATTATAGAGAGAAAGTAGAACTACTTAACTCTTTTGTGTTGAGCAATGATGTACAAGGGTGGGAAAGAGTATAATAAATCTGGATAAGCGGAGCTTGATAGATGAGAGGAGGGAGCTGCTTTAAATGAGTTCTACCCTAGGCATAAGTAAATTCTGTCTCAGAGCCTGCAAAAACTTCTACTTGTATTTGTGGAACCCCTGAAACCATGAGAGAACTGAAGAGTTGAGAAGCTCGGCAGATGTTGCATGATAGTCAAAAAGAGAAAGTAGGTGCTATGAGCTACTGATTGACATATATGCTATCGATCCCTCCTGAAAATCTAGAGTGGACTTTCAAACAGTTGGTTTGCGAATTCTAAATCACTAACAATTGAGATTTAATATAGATTCACTAAGAATGATTCCCCTTTTTTGGTGGATTTAGGCTATTGCTTACTAGGTAAAGCATCCTTTAGTTGAGGTTTATCTAGCTTTAAGTAGACATGTAACAGATTTTCCTGGATGTTTTTGTGTGCCACTGGCGAAATGAAGATGAAATGATAGCACAGTTAGGCAGATGACTAAGTGAAAGCTGTCCTGCTGACTGCCTATAATGGTGCTCCTTGTCTGCCAGAAGAGCTTTTCTGTCACACCAAAGTACTTAATTGATTGTATCCTGTATCACATTATGTGTGAGTTTATTGATGATATAAGACACACTTTTCCCATATTTAGACAACAGAGTATAATTAGTACATTGGATATCAGTCAGGATTTTTAAGGATCTTAATAAGGTGGAACCAATTATGGATACTAAGAAAATTTAATGGTGATATATCTAAAGTCCTATTTTTAGACAAATTTTAAAAAACCTCAACTCTGACTATAGGGGACAGAGAAGTCTTGGATTCTTAATAATTCATGTGAAAAGACGTGAAACTTCATTTGATAAACTTTACTACAATTGTATACTTTTTGTAAGTAATTTTTTTCCAGTTTCTTTTGTAAATGCCTTTAAAAGTTATGTGTATATAACACTAACATTTGCAGGACCACTTTTAAATAGCACACTTAGCATTTTTATGTCGTGGAATGTGAAATGGAATTCTTTCCATAGTTGATTCTATTAGTAATCTATACTTTCTTTGGAATATATTTTATGATGATGCAATATTATAAATATTGTTCCTTTTGTTAGAAAATGCATTGAGAATCTTGACAAAAGGTCCATGTGACATTTCATTTTGGCTTCAGCTCTACCTCTGATGTGTTTTGACCTGTATTACCTCTCTGTATAGTATAAATTCCCAAAATTTATCCTACTACATAAAGTACAGAAATAATACTTGGCCTCCATGTCTACTGGTTACATTTAAGAGTTAGTGAGAGGCAATATTTTCTATTCAAAAATTAGAAAGTTAATAGGCAGTAAATTATTTTTCTCTGGAGTCTAGTTTTTAAATACACACTGTTTATTTGCAACATTTCTGAAGTTAACCTACTTTTAATTGAAAATTCAGGAGAGATTTTTTTCTTATTCTGAGGTTATCTTTTTACCACAGTTGCACAGTATCCTTTTGAAGACCATAATCCACCACAGCTAGAACTTATCAAACCCTTTTGTGAAGATCTTGACCAATGGCTAAGTGAAGATGACAATCATGTTGCAGCAATTCACTGTAAAGCTGGAAAGGGACGAACTGGTGTAATGATTTGTGCATATTTATTACATCGGGGCAAATTTTTAAAGGCACAAGAGGCCCTAGATTTCTATGGGGAAGTAAGGACCAGAGACAAAAAGGTAAGTTATATTTGATGTTTTTTTTTTCCTTTTCCTGGATCTGAGAATTTATTGGAAGAGATTTTGTTCTTGGGTTTTTTTCCTTTAGTTTATTGAGGTATATAGTTGACAAATAAAAATTATATATATTTATAGTGTGTAATGTGATGTTTTGATATATCTATACATTGTGAAATGATTACCACAATCAAGCTACTTAGCCATCACCTCACATAAATGTTCTCATCTCTCCCTGCACCCGTGGTGAGAACATTAAAGACCTACTCTCTTCAGTTTTCAAGTATACAATAAAAACATTATTAACTATAGTCACTGTGCTATTCAGTAGATCTCTAGATCTTATTCATCTTGTCTAACGAAACTTTGTATCATTTGAGCAACATTTCCCCATTGCCCCACCCTTCCCCCACCCCCCAGTTCCTAGAAAACAGATTTTAAAAAGATAATTGCTAATCCTTATTTCTTCTAAATTTTTTAATCAGTTGCCTCAATTTTTATATGGGTGAACACCTGATACATTCCATTTTTCTGTTCATGCTACCATTTTCATATCATACTAGCAAATCTTGCTCATTAACTGTGTTGCAAATTTGGTCTCACAAAATCCTTCTAAAATAGTATTTTTAAAAAGCAGCATATTAATCAAAAGTAAGCTTGATATTTCTGAAGCTTGCTTGAGAATAGAATGCCTTTGGATAAAAACTTAGATGCTGTTACCTAGTAAATAAAGTGTAGGCCTTTTATAATACACAAAAATTTTTCCATATGAATATTCATAAATATAGTTATAATTAGATTAACCAAAGGTTAATTATTCAGGAAACTAAAGACTATATTGAAAATTAATGATTAATTTGTATAGTACGTTTGAAAGCAAAAAGCAAACTCATGGGAGAACTTTCACAGTGATTTTCAAGGGATCTATTTCTTCGGATAGTAAGTATGGCAAACCATGTTAACATTTAATGCAAAGAGATTGTACATTCCTCCATCTCTAAGAAGGTCAAAACCTAAACACTTCAGGTAGATAGAAAAACTCATGAGCTCTAGGGGAGGAAGACATCATAACTTTATGTGAAAAATTTTTTCTAGTTTTAGTAATTTTTATAATCGGGAAGTTTCTCCCCCAGATTAAGCTAATTTCTTCTTAATTCAACTTCACACCAGAAATGAACGTGAACATATCCATCATTGAAAGCTCTGTAGTTACATTGATTACTTGTTCCTTTACCCCTTCCTCATCTCGTTTTCTAGCCCTTTATTTGTCTTTGTGACTTTTTTGAATTATATATAAGGATGCCAAAGTAGTAGTTATTGGAGATAGTTTACAAAATTGAATCTTATATTAGTGTGTAATTTTGGTAAATGTTGAAAATTGTAGTAGATTGCCTACATTTCTGCATATTGTTTGTACCCTGGGATGATTGCACTGGAATGAATTATAGAACTGAGGATCTGAAGATGTTTACTTTGGTTCATCTCGTCATCATCTGGAGGGAAACAATTGGTTTTACTGATTAGAAGTATAGAAAGTAAATTGTCCTACATGTAAGTGAATATATGCAGGACAGCACTGGGAAGAGAGATTGATGGGAAGAAAAGCATAGAGAAAAGGATAAAATTAAAATACGGTAGCAGAGGCAGTGGTAGAAATTTAAAACTGGGTTGATAAGCAACAGACATTTTGCTAATAGAAAAGAAATTGGGTAAAAAAAATTTTTTTACTAAAATAGAAAAATTGTATAATGTAGAGCCAGAACACTTGACTTATGCTAGGGTCCTTGAGCTCCCTGTGTTATATACCTTTTAAAAATCTTATGAAAAGGCCTGGCACAGTGAGTGGCTCATGCCCGTAATCCCAGTGCTTTAGGAGACTGAGGTGGGAGGATCACTTGAGGCCAGGAGTTCAAGACTAGCCTGGGCAACATAGTGAGACCCTGTCTTTACAAAAAATTTAAAAATTATCCAGGTGTGATGGCATGTACCTGTAGTCCTAGCTACTTGGAAGGCTGAGGCAGGAGGATCACTTGAGCCCAGGAGTTTGAGGTTACAGTGAGCTATGATTGTGCCACTATACTGCAGCCTGGGCAACAGAGGGTGACCCTGTCTCATTAAAAAAAAAAAAAAAAAACTGATGAAAGCTATAAATGTTCTCCCACCAAAAATATGCATGGTGTACATAAACATACAATCTTGCTTGCAGTATTTATTACACTGAAACTATTTTTTTAAACATAGAATGTAAAGGGAAACTTAATAAGAATTATGTCACATTTTTTTCATGCAGAAACCAGTGGCCACTACTTGAGAGCAATGAATAAATCTAAGTGGTACAAATTAACCAAAATTAAGCTTTAGTTCTGCTCAATAGTAAATTTTAATGAAAGCTATTATTTAACTTTTAAAATAACAAGTTGAAACTGTACCATTGCCTTTGACTTTGCAAATTTTCTGTCATCTTTGATATCCAATCAATTTTGAGTTGGTTTTTGGTGAAAACAAGTGCTGAAAACCCTATTTCATGAAAGAATGAAAGAGTAAATGGAATGTGTAGATTCTTTTGCCCATTGAAAGTAGGCTTGTGTCAAGAAATAAGAATTCTCTAAGACTCTTCAGATAAATTCATATTGCATCATTTTCTTCAAGTTAATGAGATGATTTTTAGCAACATCTGTATCATTGGTGCTATGTTAGCAAAGAAAGGATTATAACTCCACATTTTAATTTAAGGTTGAAGAGTTAAACTCTTCACACTTGATCTTAGCCAAAATGCTGAGAAGTGATTGAAGAGTTAAATTATTTGAAAAGACTTTGTATTTTATCCAATGATCAGCAGTATTGGGCTGTAGAATTTGCCTTCTGAAAGCCAGTGAACTTCTGTGTACCAAAGAACTTCATAATCGCTCCCATTTCTTGACAAAACCTCTTGAGAAGCTCTTGATTGAAAGTCTTGGCTGTCATAAATTTGACAACTTCACAACAGTAGATTTTTCGTGACAAATCCTCTTACACAGGCTATGATTCAAGGTTTGACAGTCCTAAACGAGTAGAATACTTTCACAACAGCAGATAAGATTTCTTTCAGGATTTATGATAGAGTCTTGAACCCCATTTTATACTGATGAAGAAAGCAGGGGTGACAATGACATGGAGAGCTTCTGTCTCTACCAGTGCCCCCAAACCAGATGTGTTGCCTGGCATTGAGGTGTACTGTCTGTCTACAGAATACTGAGATTTCTTCCGAAGTTTGTTTGATAAAGACACTTCACCATTTTGAAAATGTCAGTGTTCCCTGAAGTTTTTAAAAAGCACTCCAAAATCAGAATTATTCTTTGATTGTGTCACATGCATGCATTTGATGAAAACTAGTGGCTGGCTATACTGAGAAGTCATATGCTTGAAGAGAGGGGTGCTTCCTATCTTTTTATGACTTGCTCCAGAGTATTTTTTTTTTTAAGTGTCAGTTTTTTTGGAATGAATGAAAGTATTTGATAAAAATACTGCATCAGTCTTACTTTTCTGTTCCAAGCTACAAATATGTTTGACTATTTCTAAGATACTTGCCTTCACCATGGGTTCAACTGTGTGACTTTTCTGTTTTGTCTGTTTGGAGTTACAATCAATAACTTGGTAGGGTGCGTTAATCAAGGATTTTGAGTTGCAGCAAATAAAGGTTTTTGTAATGGTCTAGGCATTTCTAACTAAGCTATACTATACTCTCACATGTGTTCTCTTTTTCTTCCTCTCTCTCTCTCTTACACACACCTACCCACACATGCATACACTCCCTGTCTGATACAGGTGCTTCTTCAGAATAATTGGCTATATGCTGTGCTGATTGTGAGAACTTGCCATATGAGAAACACTTGGGATATTCCATCTCATCATGTTTAGGAGTAAAAGTAAAACCCAAGAATACTTAAAATTTATTATATTTCATTTTCCCTATTGCCAGTTCAAATTAGATCCAAGAGCAGTCTCCAAAATCAAAAAGTGAGGGCATATTTTAATTTGTCAGTGGGAGGATATTCTAGTCATCACAGTCTGATCATATTGTCGATTCTCTTTCTCTCTAGAGATGAGGAGAAACTATTTTATAAAATGACAAGTCCTATGGGATCTTGTTGTGAAATAGGGCCAAAGTGAAAAGACAGCAAGAGAGGTTCTTTTGAAAATAGAATGTAACGTCTATAGTATCATGTGGTAAAATGTAACAGTACCTACTTCAGTAGAACTGCTCTAGCTAGACACTGTATGTTTTCCATCCTCTTTATAGGTTGGACTCTCTCTCAGGTGAAAGGTAATGGGCTAATAGTAAGTAGAAAATGGAGATCTGTACATACTGTTAAGGATATATTTGGTAAAATTGTTGTGTTTAGCTGTTACATGATATTAAGACTCAGAGTTAAGTAATTTAGCTGAAGTTGATCACTTTTAGCATTTTGGAGTCAAATCACTACTGTACTTAGCTCATGCTTAATTAATATACCTAGACCATGTTTTAAAAGAATTATTCACAGGATCTAAAGGAGTATTCTAATGTGTTCCTACTTTTATCCCTATGTTTATTTAAAAAGGCAAAAAGAAATTTATGAGCAGATACTGTTGACTGTTTTTTACTAAATGGTAGCATTTGCATTTTAGGTTGAAACAGCATTAGAAAACTAGATACTGTGAATAAAAGTCTGTGGAGGGGTTCCACCCCCAGGAATATTTGTTGTTTTATAGATGATAAAACAGGCCCAGAAAGGTGAAGTATTGTAATCAATGTTATCCAAGTAGTTAAAACAGCATTCAGAGTAAAATTTGAGTCCCCTGATACACTGTTTATTTATACACTATCAAGTCCACAAATCCTGGAACTGCAAAAGAATTTAGAGACTTTAGGACAATTAATCTCTGTATGGGGCCAAGCTCCCATGCACGGCTATGTAATGCTGATGAAATTGAAAGGCTCCTCAATTTATACCCTCCTTTACAGATGCTGAAGCATTTAATGA